TAGTCCGGCAAAGTGTAAATTACACTTTACTCGCCTAAACTAGTATCCTCATTTTAGTTTATACCCTTAATTATAAAATTTTTCACATTTTATCTTAAAGTATTAATTTTATTTTATATCACTTCAATTGATAACGACAAATTGAAAAATCTGTGAAACAAAAAGTTTCCCGTAAGTACCTAGTACTACGTTACTTTACCTCTTTTGCAACTAAATGGTTGTTGGGAAGAAAAAGAAGGTCAGTAAGAAGAAAGTTTAGAGTTCAGGAAAAGCGAAGTCACAAAATGGTATTATTTAAAATTTTTGACCTGCATATGTGCAATAATAGACAGTTACTTATTGGTAATACAGACCATTCACATGCACATTTATCGTCACAAAATTGACAATCGTTATTTATTAGAGTGATATGAAATAAAATTAATACTTTAGGATACAATGTGAACAATTTTATAGTTGAGGGTACAACATAAAAAAAAGTAATAATTCAAGGGGAAAAAGTATAATTTACCCCTAAATACATTGTTTAAAAAAAAAAAAAAACTTTGTTAATCAATCACAAACTAAACTAAGGAAAAAACATTACAGAGAGGATGACAATAGAGTGTCAAGGTAAATTATACCAGCTGCCATATTGCTAAGAATACTTTCCAGTTCCAATGTTGCCCTCCTCAACTAACTACGACCCTATTTCATATTGTCTCCTTAACTATATTTCTGATCTCACTCTACCCCCTCAACTATGAAGTTTCTCATTTTACTTCCCCAACTATTAATCGCTTAAGTTGCAAGGTTACTGGTTTCATATTGTCTCAAATTTAGTCATTAAAAACATATACTATACTACAAATCCTACCCAAAATGTGGCGGACATTTACTTTCAACGTAGTGTGTGAACAATTCAGCATAGTAAAGGGATTCGAAATAACGTAGTGTGTGAACAATTCAGCATAGTAAAGGGATTCAAAGTATAAAATTTCGCATAGGAATTATATTTACATTTTTCAAATGCGAAGAGATATACACACATCCACAACAGTTCTAGGATGATTTATGTTGCTAAATTTTTCTTCAGGGATGGACATGACTGAAAAATGTCAAAAATGATTGGCCAATTTGATCCCACAAGTTATCCACAGTGCTATTTACAACCGAATAAGATGATTTCTTATCCGAAAAAATTGCCAATTGAATCATTCATCTTAAGAAAACAAAGTTTTCACACAAGAGAAGGAGTAATATTAGACCAAAAACCCGTTAATAAAATCAATGAGAACCAAATGGTACAATAAAAATCCCTTCTTTTGCTTGAATCCAACTTTGCTTTTGCTGATATTTTCTGTAATTTTGTTTTGACCAACATGATGACTATTAGGTTTCAATTGAAAAAGTGGAATTGACTATGGTATCCATTTTTTTTTTTTTTGGGTGACGAAACGTAAAACACCATGATCATCAAAAGTAATGAAAATCAATTCTTCATACTCGCCATTCTTCGTACTCGCCATTCCTTAGCTTGCTGTGTGATTGATATGGTCTGGCTGTGATGAAATGAGTATATTTATAGATAAACATGGCATGACAGCTTTACAGATGAAAGAGATAAATAGAAGTATAGCTATGGTCCATGAGTAAAACATGCATGTATATATAGTATTTTTTTTTGGCAAGGGGATAGGGAAAGGGAAGTGGAAGGAAAAGTGGGTAAGAGACTTGAATTTTTAATTTTGAAAAAATAAAATTAAAGAAAAAAAAAGTACCATTGAAATAAAAATTTATTGGTGCATGTGCAAGTCTGGCAGACGGTACGAAAAGTAAGAGATAGTACAACTACAAAGTTTGGCAGCACCGATGAAAGACAAACCCATGAAATTCTCGTGCAATCTCCATGATTTAAACTTGGGTAAATTTCATTAATACTCACTGAATTTAAGTCTTATTTTTTTGACACTCTAATTTCTGAAATATTATTATATACCCTTGTCAGTTTTTGTCTGTTAATAGATTTAACATAATATGTAATTTTATTAAATTACCCTTATTAGAACTCCCATTTTATTTAATTACCTTTATTCAAGTTAATACAAAATTAATCTATAATTTTATCAAATTACATAAAATTGAACATTAATTTTGTTTGATTAATATTCAATTTTATCGAATTAATATTTAATTTTATCAAATTAATATTCAATTTCATCAAATTAGCACCAAATTAACATTCACCTTCTTCAAATTATTATTCAATTTCATGAAATTAAAACAAAATTAACATTAACTTTTATCAAAACCACATTAAACTTCATCAAATTACCTATCAAATTAATATTCAATTTGATCTAATTAACACCAAATTAACTATCAAATTGATACAAAATTTAATCAAATTAATGTGAAATTGATCTTAAATTTTATAAAATTATCATTTTATTTCAACAAACTAATATTCAATCTCATCAAATCGATATTCAATTTTATAAATTTAACACCAAATCAATATTTAATCTCATCAAATTAACATTTAATTTCATCAATTTAACATCCAATTTATCAAACTAGCATCATTTTTTTTATTGAATTTTAAATTAGCATTCAATTTCATCAAATCAATATCAAATGGTCATTCAATTTTTTGAATTTAATATTTAATTTTATCAAATTAATATTAATTTTAAAACTTCAGCTAACTTAGAAAGCCTATTGGTACAAGAATTTTGATGGAGGCTGTGTGTGCTAGATCTTGCACAATATAAACACGAGAACAGATCTCTCCCTTGGTGAACTCGAGTGAGTCAGTCGAATGGTCAACCCTACTGCTTGGAACAGCCTGTGAGGTCCGATGGTAATCTGAAACGATAATGGGAGACCCTCGTGGATCAACAGAACGATCCAGTAAGACTGAGGAAGGTTCCTGGAACAAAGAAAGACAAGTTAGAAGGGCGCCGACGTGTTTTTCGGCATATCCCCTCCGACGATCAAGTCAGTTTTTGAGAGAGAGGAAGAAGAAAACACTGAGTATAATTTGTAGCAAAGGTTTCACCTTGTCCCCTTGCCTTTTGTGAGGAGTATTTATACCTCAAATACTCATGATTGCTGTTAGTGTGGTCAATAGGTGATCATTAGATACAGGCAACGTGCGCACTGATTCCTATGAGGAATATCTTCTCTTTTGACTGCTCAGGATCCTGAGCAACTAAGGCTGTGTCATCGGCCTGCCGACTGTTTAATGAGCTCCTCTCGGCAAGGATGTAATAAATGTCCAGCCTTAGAGACATTTATTACCTTTTACTTCCGAGCCTTACCGCATTAAATGCTGTCTCATCAAGGGAATAGTGTAATTAAATGCTTGCTTTTTCAAGTCGTGTGTCAGCAAGGGCATTCGATCTTTCTGTCTCTGATGTGACACAATATGTCACGCGTCCATTCCCCATTGGCTGTGTCCCCTGTTTTCTTGTGCCTTCTGACACCAATTATGTAAGACGAAGTCATGATGGCTAACCTAGTCTAGTCTAGGCTAGTGAACCTGTACATCAGTAGTCCCTGCAAGAGCAGAGAACGCCATCCTGGACGGGGGTACATCTCGGTACCGAAGGGGGGGTTTGGTATATGTAGGACCGATGTACCCTATCCGACCCCGAGGGATACGTGTCGTATGTAACACACTGGATGTCATTGATCCCTATAAACAGTACTTCGGGGGAACAGGGACTTGTGATCCGACGGGTACGTGTCGCGTTTATAGGAAAAGAATTTAGTGACGCCGAGGACACGTGTCTTCATCTTGAAGTACTTAAAAATGTCTCATCAGAGGCAATTAAACTTCAGCTAAGTAGAAAGTTCAAAAGAAAACCAACCACAAGCTCTGATGTTGTTGCTCTATAAATACCCATTTCATTACAACATGTGCTAATCGATCACAAAGTATACAGATAGGTTGGCATTAGAGTTTCGAGATAAATTATATTAGTTTCATTTCCAAGTATATTTTGTAGGTACTAAATTATATTCAATTTTCACAAAATATACTTTTTCAGTTTTTCTTTTTTAATTTTTTGTAGGTACTTTTCAAGTTTCAATGTTAAGGAGATGATATAGATAGACACTACAAACATGTACTATACTACACATGTGGATTTTTCGACTATAGATAATTATTTTAACTAATGTTTGAATTTATTACATCATATATATATATATATATATATATATATATATATGAAACAACAACACTTTATTCGAAGACTAAACCAAATCATCAATTCGGAGAGGACCGAGGAGTTCTGGGTTGGATATATTATAAACAATTAGATTGTGATCGGATATGAATTTCGTATTTATATATGTACGTACTAGGTGTATACAATGAAATTTTAAAAAATTTAGTATAATTTGTTAAAATTTAGTTTAATTTGAGTTATCAGTTCTGATCAAATTTTTAAATAATATATTTTTTATTGTTAACGAGGTCAAATATAAAATATGAAGTTAAAATTCACCAAATATCCAGCACCGATGAAAACTGTGGCTAAAGAAGGGTGGTTTATTCAACGAAGTGACCTCAAAATATGACTGAAAAAAGTCCAAATAATTGAGTAATTACAACTTCAACTATTTTTCGTATTATAACAAAAAATTATTTTGTGCAATATATTTTAGTATATTATTATTATTTTATTTTAGTTCGACCGTTAGCAGTGTACGTGCTAACTTACGCCTTAACAATCCGGCTATTTGTAACACTTCTTAACAACCCAGCTAGTAGTATAAGTTATTTACAACTGCCTTAACAACCGGGCTAGATTACCACTGCTCAATGTATAGTGGTGTCACGATATCACTGATGCATAATATCACCAATCAACCAATAAATAAATAATTAGGACTACTTGAGTCTACTAATCCCATATGATAATTATGGGATGTGCAAGTTGTTTGTTGTTGTGAAAAAAGTGTGTGTGAGAGAGGGAGAGAGAAAGAAAGAGAGAGAGGATTAACAGAGTGGGAACTTTATCATTGTTCCTAATTTAGCCATTTTATTTAAGGTTTTCGTACAATAAATAAAGACCACAACGTCCATTTGTTGAGTTATTTCGAATACAATACCATACTAAATATTTATCATAAATTTGGAACGTGTCCTTTTGACTTAACCAATAAACGGGGTTGCGATAACGGTGCCACTGCAGTCAACAACCACGTGAACCCTGTCGCACCTAAAATCGGAAGTGACGGCGCAAGTTTTATACACAATGATAGCAGTGACCAATGAATTCTCTGTTTCAATTGTTACAGCTGCATCCTGTGCCCGTGTTCCAACGAGCTCGGGCCATGAACTCTTACCTTAAATCATTAAGCACATAAAAAAAATATTAGGAGAATTATGTTACTATATTATCTACGTAGCATTGAAAATCTAAAAGTATTCTTAGCAATAGAACTAATAAAGAGCTCTTTACCTTCACAGATTAAAGCCATCCCCAAATGTTATGCTTTTTCCTTAGGTTGCTTCGAGATTGATATGGAGTGGCTGTGATGAAATGAGTATTTAAAGACAAACATGGCCTTGTAGCTTGACAGATGAAAGAGAAAAATAGATGTTTAAAAAAAACGTGTACGTAGTAATCGTAATCCCACACAAGGCACGCCACGTGCACGGACAGATAAGAGAGGATAAGGTTGGTGGTCCCTTACCCACCTAAGTCAAGTGTTTATTGCTATCCATCGTGAATTTACTTGAATTAATTGTATTTTTTTTTAGAGTTGTGATTTGATATTTTAAAAATTATATAACTTTTATGATCGAGCAAATTTTTTTTTAAATCGATCAGAATTTTTGGAATTATATATTAATTTTTCAAAATTATAAATTTTAGTACAGTATCATTTTTGGTCCGTAGTGTTCTCCTTACTTCAGTTTTCATGGACTGTCTTTATTTTTTTTGGTCTAAGGTGTATGTCTCAACTTACGTGTATTTTGACAAATTCTCTCTCCAGTCCAATCAAATACAAATCATCTATTTTGGGACTAAAAAATTCATGAAAGATAAAACTTTCATGAACTAACATCAAAAAAATTACCAAAATTCAAAGTCAAAACATTTGATTTATAACTTGGCATTATTATCATTCAAGCGATTAATTTCATTTTCATAGGCTGTCTGCCAAGTAAAACATTCAACTAACTTTTTCTATTGTACCATGCATGCAATTAGTCAATCTTTATCTAACTAGGAGTAAATTACACTTTACCCTCCTAAACTATTATCCGTATTACACTTTATATCTTTAACTATAAAATTTTTCACATTATATCTTAAAGTATCAATTTTATTTAATATCACTCAAACAAATAACAACAAATTTAAAAATCTATTAAATGAGGGAGGAAAACCTCAAAGAGCTTTTCACTAAATGACTAGTACTATTTTATTTTACCTCTTTTGCAATCAAATGGTTGTTCGGAAGAAAAAAAAGTCGGCCAGAAGAAGAAAATTTAGAGCTTAGGAAGGGCAAAGTCATAGATAAATATTTTTCTTGATTTTTGATTTGCACATATGCAATAGATAGCAGCTTATTGGCAATACAGACCACCACATGCGCATTTACCGTCAAAAAATGATAGTCGTTATCCCTTTGAGTGACATAAAATAAAATTGATACTTTAAAGTGCAATGTAAAAATAATTATAATTCAAAGTACAAAGTAAAAGAAGGGTAATAATTTGAGGGGTAAAAATTAAAAAAAAAAGAAGTGTTAATCAATCACAAACAAAACTAACGAAAAAACATTACAGGTAAGATGACAATAGTGTCAAGGTAAATTATACCAGCTGTTATAGAATACTTTCCAGTTCCAATGTTGCCCTCCTCAACTAACTACGACCCTATTTTATATTGTCTCTTCAACTAAAATTCTGAAGAGATATACACACATCTACAACAATTCTAGATGATTTATGTGGCTAAATTTATCTTTAGGGATGGATATGACTGAAAAATGTCAAAAATGATTGGCCCATTTGATCCCACAAGTTATCTACAGTGCTATTCACAACTGAATAAGATGGTTTCTTTTCTGATAAAATTGCCAATTGAACTCTTGATCATAAGAAGATAAGGTTTTCACACAAGGTAAGGAATAATATTAGACTAAAGATCTATTGATAAAATTAATCAGAACCAGATGGTACGAGAAAAATCTCTTCTTTTCCTTGAATCCAACTCTGCCTGAGATTTTTTGTAGTTTTGTTTTGATCAACATGATGACTATTAGGTTTCAATTGAAAAAGTGGGTTTGACTATGATACCGATTTTTTTTTTGGTGACAAATGTAAAACACCATGATCGTCAAAAGTAATGAAAATCAATTCTTCATAGTCGTCATTGTAGAGCTTATATATGGGGCGTGAAAGCAACACATCACTACCATAATTAGGTTAAACCCAGTTTCATTTAGCACTTAACATTGGTTACATCTTGAGCATCCTTTAAGGAAGAATGGCCTGAGAAGCAAGAACAAGTTGTAAGAACCATCTTTTTTGCTTCTCCTTAGGCCTTGTAATGGTCGTAGATTTTAGGCTACCAGCAACAAGAAGTGGAAGACCAGATTATCATCACCACCCCGAAATACATATCAAAGGTTCACTGTCTGTCACATGAGGCCGTCTTGTGTACTAATAAAAGCCCAAGTACTAAAATTTTTATATTTAGGCTTGTTAGAGATATGGTCCTCTATTTTTTTCTTAAATCTACATACCATGACATAAGCAGGTTACCGAGACATATTCGTCTAATCAATGTGCAATGGGTCTCTATCTAGAATTCGATCATTTTAAAATGAAGATAAAACTATCTCTCATTTGCGTGTCTTGAGATAATTTTTAGGTAGGCGCTTTGTTCACTAAATATAGCATTTCTTTATTGATCTTTCAAATTAGAATTCTTTTCTGGCAGAAAATTCTGTTACGTGGATCAAACACATACACACAGAGAGAGATAGAGAGAGGAACATTATATTTGCTACTTATTAATCCATCTTATTTAGTGATAAGTACAACACATGGAGATTATAAACTCCAATTATTTTTGAATCATTTCAAATACAAATAACATAGTAAATAACTATCAAGAGTTTGATATCTTTCATTCCAATCTACCCAATTATAGTGGTCGCAGTAACTATGCCATTCTTGTCAACAACAACGTTAACATTATCACAGCGAAATTCTGGGAGGACGGCTGCACAATTGTAGCAGTAACGAAAGGATTCTTCTTCTCAATTGTTGCTGCCGCAGTCTCTCCCTTCACCCCAACGAGCTCGGGCCATGAAGTCTTACCTAAGTAGGCAACTGAATAAATTGAAAAAATTATGGTTCAATCAAGGGGTCAAATTACGTCTCAACCAAATAAAAGTTTCAGCTCAATGGAGTTCAAAAAAGCTAGGATCGATCCAAATGTGTTGGATTCAATCCTATCAATCCCGTTGAGTCGTAAGTTGAACCACAAAAATCAACACTTTCAATGCAGTATCAAAAGTAAAACTTGAACTACCATCACACGCTGATGACATCCTCAGTGTTGTGCTTTCTTCTTGTTATGTTGCCTTGTCTTCCTTCGTGATTGATGAAATCAAGCTGTAAACGAAATGGGTATTTATAGACCAACAATCTGATAGCTGCTGGCTTGCCTGTTTAGACTTTTACAAGCCCTAATGTCAAAAGATTGAAGTTTGTCCACGCAACAGGGCTTGAGTTTATGAGTCATAAAAAAATCGAAATTTGATGCATGTAAAGATTGTGTATTGTTTTCGCTCATCCTCACCTCTAGGGCTGCTATCCTACCCGCAAAGATCGGGAATGTGGGAGATGGGTGTTTCATAGGAGGCCTCGTATACATGTTTGCAACAAAAATTTATGGGAAAGCTAAAACTCGTACTTATGGTTAAGTGTGTCAATTGTGTCGGATTAAATGAGTGGCGGGTGAAAATAATATAAACTCATATATGACACGTTTAATAAACGAATAAAAAAGTCCAATATGAACACGACTCGTTTAATAAACAGGTAACACGACACGACTCGTTTAACCCATTTAATTTTAAAAAAATTATATCAACAAATTTTAATACTCCACTTTTTTTACTGTCAATTGCACTTACCTAAAAAAAGAGGATTTTTTAGTCAAATCTCATAAAAATAAGACTTGAATGTTTAAAAAAAAAGCTAGAGGCCATTGTCTTTTACAGGCAACTCAAACCTCCCCATCTCCCCTCATTTTTCAATGTGAGACAAAAACAAAAGGCATTGGTTTGCCTTTGTCTTTGAAATGCTCCTCATCTCCTCTCCTTTGTCATTAAACTACTACTTTATTTTTTTTTATTGATTTTTTTTCTTCTTGTTAATTTTTTAAAATAATTATTAATTTATTATTATATTAATTTTATTTAAATGGATAAACGTGTGATAAACGGTTTGATAGGTCTCACCCAAACATAACCCGTTTATTAAACGTGTTTGACGTGTTAATTCGTTTATCACCCAAACCCGCTTAATTTGTGTCAATTCGTGTCGATGAATCGTGTCGTGTCGGATTTTGACAGTCCTACTTACGCTAAGCCAATTAATTACATATTAAAGCTTATTTTTTTCTCTTTTTCAATTCAATAGGATAGTTTCACATGTGATATCTAAATAAATTCTCTTTTCACGTGTTGAGCTTGTTCAGCCCAAATCTAACTGGGTCAAAGCCTAATTTATTAAGTAAGTTTAAATTAGCTATAATACTGGTCAAGACCGGTTCATGGATTCGATGTAGTCCAAAGTTCAAAAAATTCAAAAAGATTAGCGCACGTGAGAAGTAATTACTGGAATAACTACTCTTAAAGATCAAAACTATCTCTAATTGTACCTATCGTAGTAGTAGTTATCCTCCCCAAAAAACTAGTAACCTACCCTTCAAGCCACCACCTCAATTAAGGTTTTGTGCCTATAAATTGTAATCTCTCTCACATGAGGAGTACATCTCTTATAACTACCTAACCTCACCTAGAGCTTACTCTTGCTCTATCTCTATCTCCCACCTATTTTATTAATAAAGTTCTTTGGCCACCATCGCTAGGAGTGTTCATCCTACCCTACGGGTAGGAAATATAGTGTTCCGTCTTCCTGTCCGATACTTTACAGAAGAATTTTTTTCTTGCCCTATCCTACCTGATCAAATGTGGTATTCCTACACGACTTCCTACCCAATTAATCGGGTAGGAAATCGGATAGGAAGTCGAGTAAATACTTTTGTAACTATTAATTTTTAAATCATTTTAACAATTCAATTAAATAATATGCACTAATTTAACAATACAATAAATCAATAACACTAAAACCTAAAACAACTACAACAACAATTACCATAAAACACAAAAATGCATGAACATCAATCCATTATAATTGTTACACAAATACAATAACAATTATTTTAAGTTTAAACCATATGAAACGCATTAAAATCATAACTGCTCTCATAAATCATTAGTTC